TGTCTATTTATAATGCAATAAACCACTCACATTGTGATTTTAATTCATCAGATTTGTTTTTCTCTGTTTTTAGGACATTTGAGGACAATTACAAGAGGCAAGCAGGAAATGTGTTTCAATGGAAATAGCATGAGCTTAGGAGTGAGGACTGGAATTCTGACTAATATCAGCTCCAAGATCTTGGGGAAGATATTTAAAATCTCTGGGCAAGAATTTTTATATCTGTAAAATTGGGAAAATGTATCCTATTGTGGCATTGTAAAGATTAAATAAAGCAACAAGTAAACAGACTGGTCCATTGTGGGTTCTCAGTAAATGTTCATTCACCATTACTTACATAGATTTAGAAGGCAAAGGTTTGGAAATAATTTGGAAGGCAAAAGATTTGGGTACAAGGTGGAAAGAAATATTTAAGAAAGTGATTAAAGACTACAATGGACACAATTCAATCACTTATTGACAAAATATTGCTCTTATTAGACATATAAGGACAATAAAAACATCTACAGAAAGGCACAATAATTTCCAATATAGTCTACATTTAGTGTCTGAAAAAGAAACCCATCTTAAAGTGTTTAGAGAGCTAATGATGCTGAGGACAAAATGGCTGGGAATTGTAGGAATCATCGACTTTAGGGTCTCTCTTCAGAGGAGGATGGATTTCTGCAGCACGTGGTCAAGAGGGCAAAGCCACTTAAGGAAGAGAGTGTTGTCCGCCAGAGGCACCGATTATTTTCTCTTTTTCTTGCTTTCTTGGATATGGTGGCATCAAAATGAGACAGTCATCCCACTCATAACTTCTAAGTATCTTTCTGGTACAAATTCTACTAAGTGTTGCATTGACTTTATTGTTTTTCTTTATTTCCTCCCTGCTCCTGCCTCCCTTCTTCTTGTTTCGCGCAACAAGTACCCTCTCCCTTCAGAATGGTTTTGTGCTGAAGTATAACAGTAAGGTGGTGGGTTGCATTGTCTTCTCTGTGTCCCTTTATATATGAATAAAGCAGTTGGTTCTTCTCATTTTGATATTATTTTTAATATTTAGTTTTACTTACAAAATTATGCAAGATTATGAAGCACAGTCTCTCCACTATTATTTGTTCACAATATTTCACTGAGAAAGTATGTTCATCCTCTTTTAAAAAAGAGTATGGGAAAGCGAGAGGTGTAGACAGATCTCATTCAAGGAACATGGACAAGGGTGAAACTGCAGGTGAGGAGTGTGTGTGTGTGTGTGTGTGTGTGTGTAATTTTCTAGGTTAGGGATCTAGAAAAATTTGCCCTAGTTAAGAATTCACCAGCTACTACATTTTTTCGGAGCACTTGCTTTAATGTTATGTGCACAGTTCTTGTGAGTTGCCAGATTTATGTAAAGATTAAGTACAGGGAGAGATTTCCTCCGTCTTCTGATATCAGGCAAGAGCTCTGCTCCAGGGAATGCTTAGGCAGATGTTACAGGTTTTCTTGCTGGAGACTTAGATGGATGAAAAGAAATTAGGAAAGAGTTTGGAGCAAAGAATTTGGGGAGTGAGAACTGACTGTACTTTTTATTTGAATTTGACAGAGGTGATTTTTCTTTAACTACTTCCCCAGGAAGGACGAAAATCAAATTAAATGAGGCAGGGTAAGTGAAAGGAGTTTATAAATAGCAATGCTGTATATGAAAGTAAGGCATGTACAACAATAGCTGTTTTATATTTAAAGGGGAAATAATCACTATCTTAGTTAAGGTGGAGAATCTGCTTTCTTAAGGAGTCCTTCCCGACTCTTGATCAACCTGAAGTGAGCCCTCAGGTGCCCTCACCGACTTCACAAACAAACCAGTACCTTCCTGCCTATCCCTTTTCCAACAGGGACCTGGCTTTCAGGAGTTTATTGAAACACAACACATCCAGCGAGGTTGGATTTGCCGGCATGAGTCTTTGCAAGTTTCTTTTTCTAAAATCAGAACACAAACTCTTCATTTTCAGTGGACTACTCTTTCCTAAAGTGTTTGGATTCCTTTTAGTAGCTCTAAGGCTTTTAGAAATTTTTTATGGAGAGTAAGTTATTTAGACCTATTGGGTTCTTTAAAAAATGTTAATTCAAATAGTATAGAACACAGCACTCTTCATACCGAGAGCTCTTGAATCCTGCTCCTGAAACAGAAATATAAAGAAAACCTTTGAAAGTAATACAGATGATGTACTGTCAATAGCTAGGCCTCCATTTGTTTATAGTTTAAAAATCAGTGGGAAAATCATGATCAAAGACAGGCTAATTCATACAGAAAATTGTAAGACCACTTCATCTGGCCAGATTCTGTAAAAAGTCTTTGATTCAAATGGTTCACACAAAGGAAAAATGTCCTGTAGGTTTAGAATTCCTTCTGGCAATAAATTTCCAGTGTAAACAGGAAGACTCTGGGGCCTCTTGTCAGTTTTAGAAACAAATGATACTCATTGCTTTGCACTCAGTTATTTTGACTTTCAGACAAGATCTGGAATGATTAGTAAAAGTTATGGTTTTAAATTCAATGGCAAAGGTTATTTACCATTACCATACTAGAATTTGTGTGTGTGTGTGTGTGTGTGCAACAGGGGTTTATTAAAAGAATGTGAAGCGCATACGCTTTAGCATCCTTAAAAGAAGTTCCAAAATTGTATGTCTCTAAAGAACTTGACAATGACATCACCATTACTAAAGACAAGAACTAAGAACTCCAGTATGCCAGGAGTGGTACTGCATAGCAAAAATATTGATCAGGTTCCCCAAAGTTGGAATAATTTTCAAAGGAACCATCCATGTATTTCAGACAAAAAAGGACAGTGAAACTTTTTAGCAAAAGTGATGACTACTTTTTATGATAAAAAGTATAATTTGTGTCTAATCCCCAGTGGAAACAAATGCACATAGAATTAAGTGAAGTAATGGGGAAATCAACAGTAGATACACCACACAATCAAAATAATCATAATAATTAATAATAATTAATATTATTATTTTAAAAGGGAGGCCTGAATTTCCTCTGGTAAGAGAAGAAACTATGCAGTTAGCAACTTACTCAGCAGGTTGAGAAAGAATATATTTTTAAAGGAGAGCATGTGAGTGAGAGTACACAGTTTGCATGTCGTTAGTGCCCATTTAAAATCTGAGAATCAGGAGTGTCTCTGAATCAATTTGAGTAGATTTTTTCCAAAATATAAAAGGAAACTTCAAATAGCGTTTATATTTGTCTGGGTCCTCATAAATAACTGGGAAAACTTAGAGTTAAAGCAAATTGGGGTTGGGGTACAGCAAAGGTTTTTTTTGTTGTTGTTTTTAAAATATACACAATCCACAAACGTATCTGCCTTCGCCTTGGAAGGATCAGTCCTTTAAAACAAAAGCTTTGGCTTCTGTGGCCCTGGGGAGCTAAAGCCAGAGTCCCTGAACTTTTCTTTCCGGGGAAGGGGAACGGGGTTGCTCATCGGCTTTGCTGCCGCGGGAAGCGCAGCCTGGGACCTGTCTTCTGGGACACTCTTATTTGCCCCTCCTTCCCATCCCTTGCCCTCATGTGAGAACAAGTCCCAGGCTTTTCTGGAGCTAAGGCAAGCGCAATGGGGCCGGGCGCTGAGAGCGGCTGCTGGTTTGCCATGAGGCAAGCTTTGCCACGAAGCAGCTCCACCGCAAACTCTAGGCAAGAGATGAGCTCGCGTTGTGGCGAGTCTGTTCTTGGGCTTTGGAAAGCCTTTCTTCACCACTCCCCTTAGCTTTCCGAGCGGAATTTGCAGCCAAGTGCGAACAGATCGCATATCTGGCGTAAAGAGGCGGGAGAAGGAAGGACATGGGATCACTCCCCAGTCTTCCCCCAGCCGGGTCCTAGGTAGTGGAGTCTGCAGAGGAACTGTCTCCCAGTTCGCGACGCCCGCAAACGCGGCTGCAGGTGGCCGGCGGAGCTGTCCAGCACTAGTGCGGAGCCAGGAGCCCTGCGCGCCCAGCCCGGCTGCCGCTCAGCAACAGGGCTCTCGCCCGAGCAGACGCTGTCCTCATTCACTGTCGCCCGGCTCGGGGATCGCTCGGATCCCACGCGGCCTCGAGTGAGGCGGAGAACGCTCGTCCCCAAGAGCAGCTCCTGCAGGATGGGTGCCAACATGTTGCCCCTTCCCTTCCTTTCTAAGCGTCTCCTCTGGAATGGACGGGCTGGGCCGCTCGACCTTAACCCTGCGCCTCGGAACTTAATAAATAAACTCGGAGGAAGGCGGGCAAAGGACAAATATGGTCCCTAATCCCCCACTTCAAGCTCTCAGGCTTCCCCTTTAGAGGAGGCTCCAAAGGGAGGTCTTCCGCCCCTGGCCCCGCGCCCCTCTCCCTTCCAGCACCCGCCGGTGCTGCCTCTCCCGCGGACGAGTGGGTAGGGCGTTTGGGGTCGGGGCCCTTTGGGCTGATCCGAGCTACGGTGCCCTCCTCCTCCTCGGTGGGAGTGGGGAGGGCGGGTAGAGGACGGCAACGAAGTGTCCTCGTTGCTCCTGAAACGTGGCGACAGGCGAGGCAGAGACTCCCAATGAGTATGATGGTGACACGTGATACCGGCGGAGGGAGAGCATGGGGGGGTGGGGGATAAAGGGAGAAGGAGGGAGGCGGGCAGCTGGGGGAGAGAGGCGGGAGGGGAGGGGCGGGGGAGAGCGGGGAAGGGGGCCGAGAGAGGCGCGCGGGCGGCAGAAGCCGCTGCCTCCCCGAGCGCACGGGCCGCAGCCTCGCGCCCGGCCGCCCGCGCTCGCACACTCGCAGCCGCCCCGCGAGCGGGAGCGCGGCGCACGGCGATGCGCCGAGGCGGGCGCTGAGCGGCGCCGCGCGAGCAGCAGCAGAGGCGGCGGCGGCCCCCAGCCCAGCCCGGCGCCACCGCCGAGCCCGGGCCCCAAGGTGCCGCGAAGCCCCAAGTTCCCGCCATGAGCAGCCGGCGCCGGGGGCTCCGCGGCTCCGGGGGCTCCCTCCCGGCCGAGGGCGACCGCAGCGCCCCGCGGCCCCGACGCGCCTAACGCCGCCGCTCGCCGGTCCCGCCGCCGCCGCCGCCCGCGTCCCCGCCGCCGCCGCCTCGGCCGCCGCCGCGCCGCCAGCAGCATGTCTCGCCGGAAGATCTCGTCCGAGTCCTTCAGCTCGCTGGGCTCCGACTACCTGGAGACCAGCCCCGAGGAGGAGGGGGAGTGCCCCCTGGCCCGGCTCTGCTGGAACGGCAGCCGGAGCCCGCCCGGGCCGCCTCAGCCCCGCGCCGCCGCCGCCGCCGCCCCGACCCCGGCTGCCTCCGCCGCCGCCGCCGCCGCCACGGCCGGGGCCAGGAGGGCGCAGCGCCGGCGGCGGGTCAACCTGGACTCGCTGGGCCAGAGCATCAGCCGCCTGACGGCACCCTCGGTGAGCTGGGCGGAGGAGGGCCGGCCTCGGGAGAGAGCCGGGGAGCGGGAAAGTTGGCGCCGGGCAGCCGGGGCGTGCGCGCGGGGCCCGACCGCTGGGGGGCAGCCCGGCCTCGCCCCGGCCGGCCTGGGGCTCCCGGAGGCCCCGGGCGCCTGCGAGCCGGACCCCGGGGCTCTGGCGGAAGGGGCGTTAGAGCACGGGAAAGGAGCCAGATCTCACTCTCCCGGGATGTCCTGCCTCGGGGGCCTGTCTGCCCACCTCCAGCCTTGTCCCCTCCTTCGTCGCGGTCACCCCGGCGGCCCAGTGCTCCTTCACACCCACCTGTTTTCTGTCCCCTAAACTTTCCCAGGCACTGTGGTCTGCAGTTCCCATTTCCATGTCTTTCATCTCTGTTCTCTAGCATCCCAAAGGAACCCCTCCGCCTTCCAGGAAACGCTTCCTCTTTTTTCCCACACTCTGTTGGTCTTAGCGTGACCTTCTCTGACATCTGTGAATTCCACAGGCTGTCTGCATTCTGTGTTGCATCCCTTTTCTCAAATCTTAAGGAACTGGCTGTCAGATACTTTTTTGAGTTGCCTTCTGATGAAGAAACCTCTAATCTCTTGTTTTCTCCCCACCTTGTGGCCTTTTTTCTTATTCACTGGGCATTCTTCTCGGGGTAAACCTAGTGTCTGGTTTCTAAACCTCTCTGGTATTTCTTGCACCTGTACCTCATCCTTCACTCTCTTTTCCCTGGATTCTTCAGTGCTTTCCCCTTCATTTTTTTTGTTCCTTCCTTATATGAGGACCTTCATAAATATCTGTTGAGTGAATAAATGTCTTCCTAGCCCTCTCTGAACTTGTGCTCATTTGGGGATGTCTGTATCAGCAGTTCCAGGTGTACTCCAGACTCCCTCTGCTTCTAGGCATCTTTCCAGAGTTCTGCCTCGCTCCTGCTCAGGCATTTCAACTACCCTGACTTTCACTGTTTGCAGGAATGCCAGACCTTGTTCCAGTCTTTCTTTAACTGGAAGAGGTCTGTTTTGAAGGAATCCACTCCATTGCAGACAGAATCAGAAGGAGATCTATCCACTTTTTATTCTCACCCAGATCTTAGGTATAAGGAAGTCAACTCCTGACGACCCTTTTGTCTGCCCACCCCTAGGACTTTTACTTCTTTAAAGTTTCCAAAATGAGTCTGCACATTGATCTTGTTTGACTACTCTTGAGTCTTCATTTTCAAAATACTCTTTCAGTTTGATACTGATTGTAGGAGGGACCTGAGAAGGAGTGGGATCCTGAGGGACTGGGTACCAGGCAGTCCTACAAATCTCCTTGTGGCCCTTGCATTAGTGGAGAATTTACCTCTTCTTTTGTCAATGGACTGCTCTTCGATTGTCTTCCTTTTCTTGTGTATTTTTTCTTCAGTTTACCTTTCTGCCACTTCTTCCATTGACAGCCTAGAAACAAAACTCAGAGTGGGTTGGCTACTGTTTGCTATTCTTTACTGCAAATATTTCCCAGGAAGCATAATCTTAGGAAGTGTTTGATGTTGCAAATTGTTGAACATAAGCCTTTATCAAAGGACTTGAGTAATCCTGTGCATCTGTAGTTTTGTGTCAGTATCTAAATAACGTTTGTGTGATATACTAATTCTTTGGTACAACAGGTTCATAGCTGATGGAATGATTTTACTAAAGATAATAGTTTTTGGAGGAATTGTTTTTATAATCCTGGAGGGTTTTTCTGCCTAAGAATCAGAATTTACAAATTTCTAAAAAGTAATAGGATTGCCTCTGGTAATGCCAATTTACCAGTAAGACTATTCTCAACATGTTATGTGAGGAGCAGATAAAATAAACTGAACTCACGTGTTTACTATCATAAACCTTTATAAATCAAATTTGAATGACTCTTGCTTTTTGCTGGGTAAAAAGCATGTACCCAGATAATGGTTTTCAAGATAAGAAATTTGAAAATAATTATGATGATCAAATATATGCAACAGCTATATGTACTTTCCATGCTGTAATTCGTTTCTATTTCGGAAAAGGTCTTTCAGCTGCAATGCTGAGAACATACAGGGGAATATAGTGTAAAAATTTTCAACATCCTAGGCCCCTGTGAACAAATTCTCATTGGCTAACCGTATCACCAATAGATTTGGTGACACAAAGAAAACAGAGATTACATTTCAAAGCAATGACTTATTTCTGTGGTCTCCACCCCCATTTTCTAGTATTTGGCAATCTAGAACACTGCTTCAAAAAGTTCCAGTAGATTCATTCTTCTACGTTGTCATCATTCTAAACTTCTCTGAATACTTGGGGAGATGAATTATGTCCTGTCTATTCTCTTTCATTAGAGCCAAACAACTTTTTTAAAAAAATAGATTTTTGAGAATAGCCATTGCCAGAGTATTCTTGGATGGGAATTTCTAGTTGTTGGGACTATTGTGAACCTTCTTGCATTCCGTCACAGTATACTTAAAGGAGAAACTACAATTGTAATGGAAACTCCTGTCTTCTTAGTGGTCTCATGGAATGTTGTCTCAATTACTGGAGATTTGTTCTTTATTCAGAATAATTTGCAAGTAGGAAAATGGAAATGAATTTAATAAATACTAGGATATTGCCAAGTAATTAAACTAGTTATTTGATGAATGGGTTATTCAAACTCAGGTTTTTGATATTTTAATAGCCATTTTTAGATGCATTGATGTTGGCTATAAAGATTATACACAATTTTAATAATAAAAGAAAATTGAATTGACGAAATTGAAAGAAGTCCAGAATTGAGGAGACCTAGTTCTTATGCATTGTGCCTTGGACAACGAAATACTTGTGTATCTCTGTGCACATTGCGTTAACTCTCAAGGATTCTGCGAAGACATAGAATGTATTGTCAAGCTTTCAATAAACTGTCATAACGGCCTATGAAAGGAAAGGAAGCACATATTATGAGTTTTAAAACTTTGAGGAAAGAAGATTACTTTCTTAAGTAGGGGCATCCAAGTACTATTTATTCCACCCAATTATTAAAAAATATCTGAGGATCTACTATGTGGCAAGTATTGTGCAAAGAATTGGCAATAGAAATGCCAAACAAAACATTCCCAGTCTTGGACTTCATGAAACTTCTTTAATTATAGCCTTTATTTTAAGGAAACTTTGTTGAAGGAAAACATAAGATCTCCAATTGTCTTGGAGATGTCTAGGGGAAATTTTATTTATTGTCCACTTTGGATAGTTTTGTTCACTGTGAAGCTCAGGGGTGCAGCCACAACAATAAAAATAATCCTAAAGACTTGGCTAAAGATGCAAAAAGCACTTATTACATTATTTATTTTGAAATAATTTACTTGGGAACACATATGGAGAAACAGCTGGGGATTTTACATCAAGGGTGAATTTACTAATGCTTTTATTTCTATTTTATCCTTATAAATGAGAGTTGCTTAGAGTCCTATCACTTTGACATCGGTTTTGGGTTTGCTAATGTCAGCCTGTTGGTGAAGATATTCCAGGAGACTGACTCAAGGGCAAGGCTTCCCTAGGTTTCTTGTCAGAGGACTACTGGCTGTTACGGCATTGCAGGTGGCTTTGAAGACATCAGAAGCTATAGAGAGCAGAACAGCAGGAGAAGAAATATAGAACTGGAAGGACGGCAAATAAAAGCAGGAAAGCTACTGACATAGGGAATAATCCAAGAAGCTGAGAGGACAGTGAGGAAAGAAAAAGGGAGGGAAGCCTGGATTCAAGTAGCAAGAAAGCAAAAGTTTCGTTATTTTGGGAAAGGAAAGTATATCGATACGTACCTAGGAAAAAGTGAAAGATCATTAAAAAAATACATCTTTAGCTTCTCCTAATATTAAATAAAATGAACTCTCTGACATGTGCAAATCTTTAAAATAAACCTTAGGAAGTGTGAGTGTAGCTAACATTAAATAATGAAAAATATATACAATACATTTGTGAGGTAGGCTATTAGATAAATTTTTGTATTTTAATTGAAGTTTTTAAAATTCGGGGCTCAGTTTGGCTAATGAAGTTTTAGGCAACGGATTCATTAAAATTAGAAAATTAGACAAAATGTATTCTATGGTTTAATGTTTTCACATTTGTAGAAATTAGGTATTATAATCTGAAATCAGAATTTAATGGCCACCTATTGCTTTTCTCTACCTCATCCCTAATCACTGAGAAGCAACTCTAAGCCAGGGTAGTAAGAATAAGAATTTAGAGTTTGACAGATGTGGGTTTGCACAGCTCCCTGCTGAGCCCCTTAATAAGGGTGGGACCCTGGGAAAGCCATCTCCTGCCTTCTCAGAGCCTCAGTTTCATGTTTTATGAAATAGGAATAGTAACTACCATGTAGATTTGTTGTGAAAGAGGAGTGATATTCTTTGTGAAACCCCTCGAACTCAGTGAATGATAGTTTCAGGCTGAGATCCATTAATTTCAAGCAAATTTGAATGCCTCCAAATGATCTAAAATTTTTCTTTTTTTCCCTCAATAATTTACTTGCTACTAGCCTTATTGAAAGAGTTTATAGGTTAACTGATGTCATCTGCCTGAAAAAAAAGTGATAAGTTTATTTTGTTGGCATTGCCCAGGCAATCCATTAAAAAAATTAAAACTGGAGTGTCTTTTTGGCTTCTTGGCTATGACTCATGTGTGTTCACAAACGTATATAATCACTACAGATTCAAACATTTCTATCAAACTACTGAATGCCATGTGGCAATATGAAAACCACCTTTATAAATTCTATAAAAATACAAGGACATATATATTTGGTAAAATGTGGGTATTCCACAACAAATTACTTTTAAATTAGAAAAACAAGTTAGGTAGGTGAATGAGAAATTGCTTATGTCATTTCCTGAGAATTTCAAGTGTTTCCCATACACTGCATTCAAACTAATTTGTATGTGTGTTCAAAGGTTTAGTCTGTGAGATGCAACAATTACCCGGCTACTGGCATTTATGATTAGTGTACAACCCTCTATGCTTGTTTGG